GCTTTCTAGTAAAACTAAGTCAAATGCCTTTTTTATATCTTATAACAGTATTTATACTTTTTTATTCTTTTCTTGTGCCTCCTCTATTATTATGTTTAATATATGTATCCAATATTTTGTTAAATTACTTGGCAGATCTGTGAAATTTAGTTTTTTTGAGTATGTTTCTTTCTGTAAACATTCTGTTTAATCTTTTTGTTACTATTTTTATAATAACTTTTCTAAAGGTCTTGATCAATACTATTGGTCTAATATTGTTTAAGCAGTAATCCCAGTCTATGTCTTTTGGAATTAGATATATTTGCACAATTTTTCATTTCTTTGATATGTCTTTTTTTTTTAGAATCAGATTTGTAAAAGTTTTAAAAATCCTTTGTAATCTTTTCTCTATATATTTTATTAATGTGTAGCTTATACCTAATATTTTTGGAGTTGTATTTGGTTTAAGTTTTCTAACTATTTATTTTTATTTTTTTTCTCTATTTTTTTTTTAATTCCCTATACTAGATCTTATTGATCCAATCTTTTAAGTTATATACTCTTTTCTATTCTTCTGCTATTTTTTTAAGTTTAGTTTTTCATTTTTGAAATTGGTTTTTAAAATAAGTTGCCAAACTATTTAGGAGTTCATTTGGTTCTGATATTAGATTAACTTCTTCTTTGTCTTGTATTATAAATCTGTTTAGAACAATCTTTTTGTATAATTTATTTGGTAAGCTGGCAATTATTCAATCTTGATCTATTTTAATCATTTTACATCTTTTGTTTATATTTTCTTTTATCTATTTTTTTTGTACTTATTCTTATTTCATTTTTTTTTTTTTTTAATTATTCTTTGCTAACTTTCATATTATCTATTCAGGCTTCTAACCATTACTTGTATAGTTTTGGTAATGTTGCTTCTAGCTCTTTTTCTATAATTTGAAGTTTGTTATTTATTTTAACTCCTTTATTCTTTTCTATTTCTTGATTCTTCTTACTTTTTGCTTTCTTAATTATTTACTAAAGTTTAATAATATGTTTGTGTTTCTTTGTTTTTTTTTGGTTTAGTCTTCTATTTAACTTAGTGTTGAATATCTTCTTTTTTAGAATTTACTTGTTTGTTGCTTCAATTATAGTTTTTTCTATTGCATTTTATATTTGGTCCAGTACCTTTATACTTATACTTGCCACCCAAATCCCAAACTATTATAGTTTGGGTTTATCTGCGCCCAAATTCCAAACTCAAGTCCAAATTAATATCTCAAAAACTTTATTAATAATCTTTATTTAAACAAATAATTTATATTCTTATAGCTATATATAATATGTTTACAAAATATCAAAATTATTTTGTTGATTTAATTTTTTATAAAAGCAATTTGTTTTTTTGAGGTTTGGGATTTGTCCGGATTTTGCCAGCAAGTATATTTATACTATATTCTGTTTTTATGTTATTCTTTTCTAGTCATTTTAATACTTTTTTCTATTCTAGCTAGTTTTGTAGCTCTTTTGTATAATCTTTCTAGTCTTTTTGTTTTACTTTTTTATATAGATATATTGTTTTTGTTTGATCTTTTTGTTTAATTTCTACTTCACTGCTATTTGCAATTATGTGTTCTATTCATATTTCTGCTATTATTATCTTATAATTACTATCTGTTAACCTTTCTGCTTTTTCAAGATTAGCTTTTTGTAGACCTAATGCTAGTGTTTTTGACAGATAAATATAATCTATTCTTGTTGCTATCTTCTAACTTAACCATGTGTATGCTTTTTTTGTCAAGTACAGATTTTTGTATGAATTTGTGAAGTTTTGTCTTTCAAAATAGCTAAATATTGGTAATCTTTTATAGTTTGATGTTTGTGGATATTGTCTGTCTAGTATATTATCTACTGTATAATTGAAATTATCAAGTATAATTACTTTTGTATATCATTTCCTGTTTGTTAATATCTTTACAATTCTTTGCTAAATTTTTTACTGATTGATTTGTCATTTAAAGGAATATATACTTCAGTACTACTAATTCTAATTGTTTAAAATATAATATCATCTTCAGTATGTATTTACTAATTCTTTTAACTACTTCTATATGCTTTTCTTACTTTTCATCTATTAGTATTTTTATGTCTGAATCTTTTTTCTTGTCTATTACTGTACTAGTCCAATACCTTCTATACTGTATATTATAACTATGCAGTAAAAATTTTCCTTCTTTTTCTGTAATGTTTGTTTTCATTATTCTTACTATTGTGAGTTTTTCTTTTTCTACCTATTCTAGGAGATTACTTACTTTCTATCTTCTTTTTTTAAGTCCATTGATGTTATAACATATAATTTTTATTTCTTTCTTTCCTTGTTTCTATTTTTTTTTCAGATGTTTATGTCTTGTTTCTATGTTTTAATTAATATATTAAATTTTTTTATAATTAATATAATAAGATTAATATTGTCTAAATATTATTTAAAATAACCAAAAAAATTTTATTAGCAACCAATAGTATATCATCTTATAATTTATCAAATCATTAATATATAAACATACTATTATTAAAATATTACCTTATATCTTTTTTATCTGAGATGTAACAAATTTTTTTATTATCTTACATATATCAACTTATTTTTACTTCTTTTTTATTTTATAGAAGCCAACTAGTTATTGACCTGCTATCATTTAGATGATTGTTTGTTGATATTTGGATTATATTTGTGATTTTGACCTGTGTACTTTTGTTGACTACTGTACTGTACATATAGTTATTTCTAGTGATCTGATTGGTTGACATATTCTATACAAAAATGATTTTAGCATATAGTACATACAGAGATTTATATATCCAACAGTTTATTTAGATTTTAATTTATATTGTAACTTTAGCTTACAAAATACTGAAGTAACAGTTTGCACTATTAAAATACATGCTTGTAATGAACTTTGCATATTTTTTTCACAAAAAGAAAAGCTTAAAAATATTACTATTTAGATAAAATTTTAATATTTGTATAAATTAATGACAATGAGTTATAGTTCGATTATACTATAATTCCGATCTAATTATCCAGACAAGGACCTAACCTGCATAAATAGAATGGACTAGGAAAACTCCTACTTGAAGCAAGTTTCAAACAGCGGTTTTCCTAGTCCATTCCCAAATCTGATTGCTCTAAAAACATTTTTGCCTATTGTCTTCGTAAGATAAATGTGACTTTAAACATTTTTTAAAATCACATACAATACAAGAAAATATTTTAGGCCATACAAAATTAAATAATTGTTTCTCATAACATAGAATTCTTAAAGTGACCCGCCCGCCCGGCTTTTAATTTTTAATCGCAAAAATTTTATAAGTTTTCTTTGTCTAAAAAATATTTAGAACGTATAAAATATTTTATTAAAACCACCCGAAAGTATTTATAGTAAATAACTTATAAAATTTTGTATCGAAGATTTACAAAAGCTGGCCCGGCCGGGTTATGAGAAACAATTAATTTCATATGGTCTTATACATTGCAGTCCCCTGGACACTAGTACATATTTTCTGGTGCATATCGAAGTTCTTATTAATTATGGTAGTGAAACTTGCATCAATTAAATAGTGCGTATGTACATATATACTTAATATCTTGCTGGCTATTAGCGTAGCACCCGACATATTCGAAAATTTTAGTTTTCTTAGAATTGCATCTCCTCGGTGAATATTCAGAATTTCGAAAGGTAAACACATTAATCAATGCGATATCACTTGTACTTTAAATGCTCGTGTCACGCTAATTATTTACAATTTATTATAAAAATTAAAAACTTAAACAAAAAAAAAAATCCTCATGACAAATTAAAAAGCACGTTTTTTACCTATTTTATATTATTTTTAAGTTCGAAGAATTAATACTGAGAGAAGTTAGATTTTAAAGATTTATCACTTGTGTATACGTAGTAAATTCCAATTAAAAAAAAAACAATATTTGATTGTGTAACAATTCGATCATATTAAAAAACTGTACTAGTTGGTTTAATTAGGGTCTATATCCCTAGATACTGGGGATGTTACATGTACGCTATTCTTTAAAAATTAACATTAGATAACGATAATCTAACTTTAATAATTTGGCGCGGTATTTGTAAAATTTTTATTTTTTCCAGTATTACAAAATATTTAATTTCAAGCTTCTATATATAAAATATAAGAGGTTTCAGGACGTTAGAATATAACCTCTTGTAAAATATAATTTTTAATATTTAGAACTTTGCAATAGAAAGTGCCAAACTCTATATACATATATAATGAGTTTGGGCCTTTTCTATTGTAAAGGCCGGACTGTACTAATTTAGTAAATTTCAGATATTATAAACTTTTTCAGGGTTACTTATTCTCAGTATACGTAGCACTACGTACAATCAACGTTTTTTTAGCTTATAAAATAGTGATAATGGTAATATTAATGAATGTATTGGAGATAATCCTGTTTCCATTAAAAAAATATCGTTCTAAACTATAATCTAAAAATCGATAGTTCGTCACCTGCCTTATCAGTATTGACTATTTCGAACTTGGTTACAACCAACAAGCATAATTTCAAACAAAAATTCATTTTGTGAATACACTGCATCGTCTTACACTATTGTTCCCTTCTGGGACATATAATGTAAAAAAGAAAAAAAAAGCATTGTAGCAAATATCAAAATTTTAGTAGTACGTATTTGTTGTTTCAAAGATCGTTACCGATAAAGGATACATTTATGAAAGCTTTATGGTTTACTTGTATCATACGTACTAGTATCAATATGCACAATCATCGTGCGTATCATACTAAAGTTCGCGCAAAGAAATGCTGTGATCCGTAATATCTAGCCTACTTTGGGCTTAATACATTAGCTTATTACATGATAGTCGGATCCTAATTCGATGGATGGGAACCAAATCTAGCTAGAAATCAAATTTGGTTCTTCTTTAAAACTGTAAAAAGTGGGTTCTTGCATTTCTCAATTCCGGAGAATCTATTTCTATTTTTTTCAATGATTTCTGAACTTTTCTCAGGCCTTTCACAAGACTTTGGACGTCTACTTGACAATGCTGATGATTACAACGTGATAATTGAAATAGGTGATGGTCCAAATGTGAAAAAATTTCAAGCACATTCAGTTGTTCTTCGTGCTCGTTCTTCGTATTTCCATACTGCTTTATCCAGTGATTGGTCAAGAAGAGAAAATGGTTATATTGTTTTTAAGCAACTTGGTGTATCGCCGGCAATTTTCAGTGCAATAATCAAGTAATTTAAGAATTTTTAAAGCAATCATATATTATTTTCTTTCTATTTACTTTATCTGCAAAACCAATATTAATAGGTACATATATAGCGGAACGATGTCATTAGATGATAATGATACAGATATTTTTGAACTTTTGGCTGCTGCTGATCAATTTAGTCTTCATGAATTACTTAGGTATATAAGATATTTATTTAATGTTGAATAGACAATATCGACACCTCACGTCACTTTACTTACTTTTCATATTGTTTTTTAAGCCACATACAAAATCACCTCATTTTAAATAGATCCGATTGGATACGACAAAATCTTGTCAAAATTTTACATTTAGCATTAAAGCACAAAACGTATCAAGATCTTTATAATTTTTGTAATCAATTGATAGTAGAAGATGCTCGCTCATTATTCGAAGCAAAAGACTTTACATCTATCCATGAAAACGTTCTTGTTTCCGTATTACAACGTGACGATCTTGGATTGAATGAAGCTGAAATTTGGGATAAAGTTATTAAATGGGGTATTGCAAACACTACGAACATAACTGCCTCGGATGTTTCTAGTTGGCGTAAAGAAGATTTTTCTGCATTACAAAAAACAATTAATCGATTAATTCCACTCATAAGACTCTTCCAAATGACTCCTGCTGACTATTGTCATAAAGTACGACCTTACAAGCGACTTTTATCCAAAAATTTACAAGAAGATCTCTTACATTATTATCTTGCTAATGATACTCCAAAATCAACTACCGTACTTCCACCAAGAGTTGCTCCTATTCAAATTGACTCCGTATTAATTGGTCCTCAACACACCGCCTTAATTGCTCGGTGGATCGATAATGAGTCAGTTATAAAACAAGGTTCGAAATATAATTTCTTGCTTCTCTTCAGGGCAAGTCGTGACGGATACTCTATAAACGCGCTAAAGCAGAAATGCGCTGATAAAGGGCCTGTAATGCTTGTTTTAAAAATTCATGATTCCGGGAGATTGATTGGAGGATACAACTCTATTGGCTGGAAGACCGAAAAGATTGGACCTGGGCAAGGTGCAAGTGACAGTTTCGTATTCACCTTGGGAGACGGAAGGTCTCCTGATGGCGCTAAAATAGCACGAATGATATCTACTGCTGCTTCTGACAAAGATATCGATGATTTAGCATGGAATGGACCACGTTTTGGTAAAGGCCCGGATCTGTGGGTCTGCATGAATAATGATCAAAGCGGTGAGGCGCGTAAAGTTACTTATGAATCTAGCATTACGGAGACCGAAGGCAGGTTTCGATGGATAGATTGTGAAATATTTTCAGTTGTAAAAAAATGATATACTTTATCTTTTAAATTTATAGACAAATGATGTTTTTATTTATATGCTATTGATATATTTATTAAATTATCAGTAGTTCTTTCGTTGGTACCAAAATGTCTTATTTCACATGATCAACATTGACATCTGAAAAAAAATGAATTTAATATTTTCGTAGAATACTAAAGTTTTAAAAAAGGAAACCTCGAAAGGCAGATCCCCCCTAAACAAGCTAAAATATAATTTTTCTATAAATTAACCAATTGATGCAGCAAGCTTAAAAAAGTTGAGAATGATACGGAAGGTAATTTCTTCTGTTGCATTCTGCAAATTTAGTGACCATATCAAGTTACGATAATCTAAGATCGATATGTTGTAATTTGAAGTGTTACTACCTCCTATTTAATAGATCTATAGTAATATAGAAGTTAAATAATAGTAACATAAAAACAAATGTCAACAACATATACATAATACCAAAGTTGATCTACATGCTTCAAATAATGGAAATAATTGGATATTTTTTATGTAAGCACCTTCATTATCGACACTTTTGCATATTGACTCCTTCGTGATCAGCTATCTATCGATTCTTAAAACTCGACTAGTTCTAATTCATGTGTCGAAAAAGGTTCTGACAGATCATTTGGCGACATCACGTCGTGAGACAATTTACTTACAATATACAGATATATAATTACCAATAATAATGTATCAGATTGTCACGTTGTGGCATATCGGTTTTCTGTGCCAAGTTATGTTGAACCGCGAATCAGATTTCAAGCACATGATCGACATAACCTGGCACAGAATACCTGTGTCACGTTGTGTAATGTTGACTAAACAGCCTGTTAGTGAAATTAATGTAATCAGACTATTATTTGACTAAATTTTTTTAAGAATTTTTTGTATATATGTATTTGTAAGATCTAAACCTATTAGCAAAAAAAAATTTTTAATAACAAGTTTATATCTTATTAAAAGCTTTTTACCTTAATATTATTGCTAAAAAGGCATTGCTATTGTTATAGAGTGGAAGCCTTCTTATTTCCACACTACAACAATGACACGGCACAGGGACTCTATGCAGTGTTCAAAAGGGAAGTATAGTTCCTGTTAGACATTGTCAAGAAACTATACCCATCTCTGAGGCAGTTTGATAATTATTACATAGTAGTTTATAGTTAAAGTCATTTATTAAAGAATAACAAGAAGGATTATCCTTAAGTGCCTGTCCTAAAGGATTCAAGATATAATTTACAGAATAAGAAGAAGATGAATTGTCTGTTTCTTGGGACTGAACTAACTTGAATTGAATGTTTTTTACTTGGGGAAATTTAGAGACTTTATATATCTTTGGGTTTAAGCGACAAAGTGACAAAGTGACTAAGCGACAAAGTAACAAAGCAACTAAGTGACTAAGCGACTAAATGACAAAGCAACTAAGCGACTAAGCAACTAGTTACACTAAGGGACTAAGCGACTAGTTACATTAAGAGACTAAGCGACTAGTTACACTAAGGGACTAAGCGACTAGTTACACTAAGAGACTAAGCGACTAGTTACACTAAAGGACTAAGCGACTAGTTTCACAAGCTTAAGGCATTAAAATGTTTAAAGCATTAAAGTAACTATAACTAATAAATAATACAATAATAGAAATCTATCCTATAACACTATAAAGCACACATATTGGCAATATAGTCTTTATAAAAAAGAAACAATAAACAGGCCTATATTAACCACTATATAGACTGGCAATCTATATATTTATACTTTAATTATAATCAAAAACCCTTATCTAACTTTACTAATTTTAAACTTAACTAATCCAAAGTTTTCAAAATTAAAGCCCTATTAAATTAACTACCAATATATTGTTTTCTTTATAATATCTATCTAACTATCTTTATAATTGCTAACTGCTTTTAATACAATCTTCTTGACTCTTATTTATACTGGCTAACTTGATCTAATTTATCTCTTATTATAAACATTATTAACTTATCAATTCAGTATATTTTATCTAAAGCAAACCTCAACTTATTTACTAGTCAACTATATAAACTTATTTATAAAATTCAAAATCACTCTTCATTTAACTGAATACTATTTTAAGTAAATTCTTTCTATTTTAATCTTATTTTTAAAAATCTTATATTTAAAGCCTTAATTGAAACAATTTACAACTATAACATACTTATTAAAATAGTTTTATAAACTATTATTTAAATACTTCTTAATGTTAATAATCAAATTTATAACCAAATATAAAAACTCTATTGCATTAACTTTTCTAATTAAAAAAAAAAATATTATTATTATATCTCTTTTAAACTCTAACAATAATAATACCTTACAGGGTGTGGTGACCTAGTGAAGTGGTCAGGTTGTCAACCCTCCAAGTGGTAGGTTGGGTGTTCAAATTCCATTAATAGCGAAAATTTGAATAATCACCTATGTAATATTTGTATTATGGCAACTGTTACTAACAATTGGGTTAGGATACCTGTAATGCGATTGCACCAGCATGACTGACAGGTCATGGGGCATCTGTGCAATGTTGAAGTTACATGGAGGAATGCAAACTGACAAATCGGGTGATGCAAACACTAGATAAGTCCTTGTGGCTATGTAAATCTATTGAAATTGGGTAATAAGAAGTCTATTTGGGAAGACCTGAGTAGAAAGATAGCTGGATCTTCGATGGTCCTACTGTAAAGGCTAGCTTAGGGAAATGGATATCTTGGTCTAGTACCTAGTTCTAGTAGCCGGACAGACAAGAACCTCTGGGTTGGGAGTCTCAGAGGTACCACCAACCAGGCCACCAAAACGAACCAGAGGAAAAGGATATCAAGCCGATCTGATATACCAATAGACTGGTCGTAGTCCTACACAGGATATTTGGATTGGGAGTTTGGTAAAAGGGCAAGGAAAAAGACAGGAGTATACTAAAGTACCAGGGTTATGCTATAAAGTAGATGCTGGGGACAAAGGCATAGCAGTTTAATGGTTAGCCCTGATTGCAAGTGTTGATTCTGTTATAGCAATACCTAGGTCAGCTATAAAAATAGGTACAGAAGGCTCTGAGAGGTTTACCTCAAAGATAAATTAGTCCTAAGGTTGAGGACGATGATCTGGTACATCTGAGATAACCAGTAATATTAATACAGGTTACAGGTTCAGAGGGTTTAAAGTGGAACACCCAAGCAGAGGTGTTAGATACAGCAATTGGTAAGAAACCTTCGGGTGGACTTCTTAAATAGGTAATATAAAAAAGTTATACATATAGCCAATTGTACACTCTCCTGTAGTGGTTCATTGAACCACAATACCAATAAGTGATTAATAAAAGTCAAAAGACCAAAAAGGTCACCTTAATACCAAAAAAAAAAATAATAATAATACCTTACAACAAATATAGTAAATTAAATGTTACAAGAGATTATATACAAATTATACATACTCATATCTTTATAAAATAGCAAATTAATTATATTTATATTCTAATATTTGTTTACAAATTGGACAAGCTATTAAGAAAACTAACATATAATCAATACTTTAAATTAATTATAGCATATCTTATAATTACATTTTAATATTACAAAACCTAGATAGGTCTAGATCACTTTAGTAAGTTTAGATTACAAATAAGACTGTCTAAGCTTTAATTTTTGTATGTAGTTTTTAGTTTGTAGTTTATAATTTTAATATATCTTAGTATATAGTATATTAATATATACAACTAAAATTACTAATAAAGATATAAGTAAGGTTTCACCTTAACACAAAAAAAAGGCATATAAATCTTTTAAAATAATCTATAAAATACTAAAACACTATAGGTCTTATATGCTACAAGAAATTGCATATCTATTTAACAATCTTAATAATATATATTTTATTAGTTTAACAAAATATGCTAAAAAACTATATACAAAAATTTTAACCAATAAACTCTTATTTATTTTATTCAACTATATAATATTTAATTCTTACAATTATATGGTATTGGTTTTTTTTTACTTCCCTTTGCTATTCTGAAGATCCTTAGACACCTTTAGGATCTGTCACATCTCTTAAAGATCAGAGTTATCATTCTGTGAAGATTATTGGATGGCATGTAGCTTCTGCATGTTACTGAACTCATGAGATAACTCATGCTTCATCAAGTCTGCCATATGATGTCCCAGGTCCTTGGCCCTATGGTGTAAGACCTACTATCCTTTTTGATCCACAGTTCTCTAACTTCACATAACCAACTAGCTGGATTGTCTGTATATTTCAAAATCCTTAATTCTACTATTATGTATTCTTAAATCGAGCTCTCTTAATGTTAGTATCATTTTTTGACAGATTACGCCTTATCTGGTTGTTCCCAATCTGTGGTTATGCCAATAACTGCATTCTTTTTGTATAAATCTTGTTCTTGCTTTTTAAATGAAAGTCCTCTGCAGATCTTTTTTCTAATCATGGTTCTGGCAAAGTTGTTGTCACCCTTTGAACTCAAACTCGTGACTTTGCAATTGAGACCTGGAAGTGCTAACCACTGCGCTATCGATCTACAGGTCTATGTTGTATTGTTTGACAACAGTACTAATATCTAATATATACTTAACTTTATTAAAAATATCTTATATAATAAAAAACCATTCTGATTTCTATTACAAAACATGAGCAAAGCTTATAACTCTGCTAATATTGCTCTTTTAGAAAAATTCTACATAGAATCAAACTTCTTCTATCTATTGTTCTTACAATTATTAACTTATTATTTTTATATATTAATTAAGTTATTACTAATTTTGACTTTATACATATATTTATTAAAAGATGGATTTGATTAAGAAGAAACTATTACTCTTCTCTTATAGAAAATATACTATGCCACACTTATCTATCATATCTATACAAAATTCAAAAGATATACTACTGCCACAACAAAACAATTTCACTATTCCCTCTTAAACATCAACAATAGTAATAACTGTTTTATTTTCAGGTTCTTATTATACTTTTAACTATTTTTCAAATTAAAGTTACACATTTCATAAAGTTTAGCTTTACTACAATTACAAAACTTCTTTAATTTTCTTTCACTTGTTTTTTTTTAGCCAACGACATTACTTTTCGTAACTTTAATAGTTTTAAACTTCGTATAACGTTAAAAAAGTAAAGAATCTGAGATTTCGAAAAAAAGTAGTATAGAAGTATGAATAAGAACCGGTGAATAAATTAGGAAGCTGAAATCAAGCCAAGCTAATAGCCTAATGCTATAGCTTAAGTAAAAATTTACAAATTATTTAAAGTTATAAAAAATAGTTATTTGTTTTAGTTTTAATTATAGCCAATAGCTTATAACCATGACTTAGTTATAGCTTGGATATGGCTTCTTTGAGCTAAGCTAAGCTATCCAAACCATTAACATCACTAGAATAAATAAATCATTTTAACATCTCTTAAAAATTCTTTTGTGAGCCAGGCAAAGTTTTAAGTGTAACTACACATGATAGTGCACGTGATTGTGTGCAGCATCTACTATGTTTATCCGAAACCATTTTTTTACTATCTAACTACGTTGCGAAAAATACAGAGCCAAATCACTCTTTACCAATCATCTGAATATTTTTTTAATCTATTAAAAGGAATCTATTCAATTGCATCTTCATAAAGTGTTGCTTTAATTTGACATTCTTAAATGCAATCATCAAATATCTTTATTTCCACTTGTCCATCCTTGCAATTTGTCTTTCAGAACCCAATTCATCAAATACTAACATATATTAATTTGTGATTGTGTTCTGAGTTAACCACAGGCACCTTTATGTTCTAGTTTTTAATTTAAGAAATATAAGTATAATATAAATTAAGTATAAATTAAGTATAAATCAATTAAATAAACTACACATAATAAAATAATATAAACTCACTTTTTTGTGTTCTACTCTACTCAACATTTTAAGTGTAATTGTGCATGCTGGTGTAAATGACTGTATAATTTTTCTTTATCATCTACATAATGTAGATATCGTACACCATCGTTCTTTTGAATATATTAAAAGGAATCCATTCTATTACATCTTCATATGCTGTAGTTTTAGTTGAGTTTCTTTAATACAATCATTGACATACTTATTTCTACTTGTCCATCCTTGTACTGTTTTCTGAGGGTCGCGTGTTTAGCACCATGTGTTATATCGCTTGCATTTCCTTTCCATTTACCTCTCTTAGACCCAAACTCATCGTTCGTAATTCTAAGATGATTTAATGTGTTGCAAAAAAATGATTCATCGTTGTGAATATTTACATCATTTAGAAAAGTTTTATAAAATCGAATTATCAACAACCATAAATTGAACTATCCTAACGTTACCGGTCAAAATTCCAAAAATTCTACATGTTGAATGGCGTCATTCGAATGCAATTCGACAAACATTCGACGACATTCAGCCAACAATCAACAAATTTTGACATGTTTGGTCGAATGGCAACTGAATGATGCCATTCGATATGTCAAATTTTTTGGGTTTTGCCGTATAAGTACGAAATAACGCTCTGTCCGTCATTTTTAAGAAATTTCTATTATGAACCTGATGTATAAACGTTGAGCTTTTAATTCATCGGTTATCGTTATTCGATGAGGTCACAAGGACATTAATAAATTTTTTTATTGACTACTCCGCATCTAATAACTATATATTGCTAGTACTATGTTTGCGCGAGATAACGCCCATGATATTTAGTTAGATACGTAATTTAAAGAGGTCTAATGATTAATTTCGGTTAAATTAACTATTAATTCCTTTTAAGTTGCATGTCTCGAAATAAAGCCCATGGCATTACGTGTAGTTATATTTACATAGTCTTTATCAAATTATCGACGGCAAATTTTTGACTCAACCAGTGCCGCGAAGAACTGTCCTAGCGTTACCAAGATCAGGTGTTACGCAAAAGAAACGCAAAAAAATCAATGAAACTACATACTGCGCATTAATAAAAAGGTTTCCTTACGAAATTTTTGTATTAGAAAAACTTTTTTAACCTAAATTAATAGCGAAATTTTTTAGGTTATTGTTGTAATAATATAAACCTTGAATTTGGCAATATTTTTAATTTTAACTAATGTTTTAATTCTTGGCAAGGAGAATGCCAATTATTATTACGTAATGTCTTTTGTCCAAATTTCCTCCCTAGGTGATAAAATCATGAGATTATATGTAATATATAGACATGATAAACTGCTAACTCTAACTCTTCCCCTTAATAAAATTACGTAATAACAGCATTCCACTAATATTTGAATCTTTGGCAATATTTCAACTTTTATAATACTTTTAACTTCGGTAATATTGGCAACATTTTTTACTTTCGGAATACTTCTGACTTTCGAACATTCGGTAAATCAAATTCGAAAATATTCTCGGCAAACTTTCGGTTTCGGTAAACCGAAAGTATGTACTGTCGTAGTCTACCCGTTCGACATAATGGAGTTTATCCATCCTTGATTAACTGACAAATGGGCAACCGTCAATAGAAATCACAGATTGACATTTCAAAAAAAAAAACAATGCCTTCACTTTTACTGTTCATATCTCGATGAATTTCGAAGCTACTCTCATGATTTAATAGTTAAAAGAAGGCTCAAAATTTAAAGCTTTCTTTGCCATTAAATTATGATAATAGCTTCGAAATTCATCGAGATATGAGCGGTAAAAGTTAAAGCATTGATTTTTTTTAAATGTCAATCTGCTTGATTTCTTTCCAAATATTTAGACTAGGAAAACAGGTGCTGTTAGTGTCTGAAGTTATGGGATCTTTGCTAGGAAAATCGCCTCCGACATTTTCCGCATTCAACCGGTCAAGAACCTACCGGGTTGGTGAAAAGTGACTGGACAGTGACCTTTTTTACTATCTCCGATAATATATAATTATTTATTGTAGTACTGGTATAAGCGTTACAATAGTATATCAGCGATCACTGTCCAATTACTTTTCACCAATCCGGTATATTATACCCGGGGGATACACTGCAGGGAAAGAGGGTACAATAACTGGTGGATTTCTACTTGTTCTGTATAATTTTCATATAGATCACTCGTTAATATACCCGGGTATCTTACACTCCAACCCTACAATGTACCCAGGGGTATACTATCAAGGGGGAGGGGTACTCTATATGACGATTTACTGGCTTTTGCCTTTATTGATCCAATAGCTTATCAATAAAGGCAAAAAATGCCGAAGGGTGATTTTCCTACGTAGCAAAAATCCCATATAATTTTTACGGATATTCTGCCGTTTCGGGCTAAGTCTTCATACAATAAACAGGATAATTATTATCGTCAGACGCTTACGATAATGGATCTTATTTCGCGTTATGACAAGACTGAATTAAAACTCAAACAATGGCGACTTGTAAATGTTTTGCGTCAAATTAATCTACATCAGATTAAAATTACTACCATGGGCCGAAATTGTTAGCACTATTTAAGTTGCGTGTCTCGAAAAAGCACTTATGGGCATTATTTCGCGCAAACACGGTATAATCCCAAAACATCATATACTTACTTAACATAGGCTAAGGGCATGGATCTTCCCCAGTATCGCCGTCAAAATTTTCACTTTCACGTGACCGCATTTAAAAATCTTTAAATTCGTTTAAGTTAGGGTTAGCGTTTATAATAGGGCTAGGTTTTAGAAGGGTTAGAGCTCAAAAGGTGGTTTCTTATGCTAGTTTTTGAGGAATAAGCGATTTTTGAAAAGCGAACGTTTTGTTTTGATCTTCCTGATCGTGTAACGTTACATTAAAGCGAAACACACTATTGGATTATCATCACGTGAAAGTGAAAATTTGACGGCGATCCTGGGGTAGTTAAGGCGGAAAGTCTACGGACACGTACCAGTCACATGACCCTAACCTAACTAAATGTTATGGACACGTACCAATCACCAATCTAAGTTTAGGGTACGTGCGATTTCACGTGTCTCGTACGTGTCCGTAGACTTTCCCAGTTAAGGGCATGAACAGAAATCAGGTGATTTCAATTTCCTAAGTGGCTATACCCGGTTAAAAATCTAACTAACGCTAATCAAATTGATATAATCTGATCAACCAAGAAACACCCTCTAAAATTAGCAGATTTCTGCCCGCTCCCTAATGATATAGGTAATTAATATAAATGTAATATGGATAATCGACTTAACTATTTAACACTAAAGTCAAACTTTTGTCCGAATTATTAATTAGAAAGTGGTTTCACTTCTATGTTGGAATCACATAGAATAATTTCTATGGAACTTCTGAAAATTATCATTTGGACAACTTTAATTAATGGGCTATGATTTCATTGGTAGAATTTTTAGCGTAGAAATTCTCAGATTTCTGTTGTATGACTTTAAATTAGAAATTTTACTCCGATTTCATGTGGAGTAAATTGGCATTATTATAATAAATTGTATATGAAAAGCTGGTCTAGAAAAAAGTTAGTCTGGGTTTTTACTAAAATAAGCTACGTAGCTTTCAAATCCATACAAATAGGTGCTAAGCACTAGTAAAAAATATAGGTGACGCAAAAAAAAATCCGACTTTGACCATATATATATCGATATGCAAAGTTAAATGATTAACAATACCCAATTTAGTATTCGAAAAATCGGTCAAAAATCCCATATGTGAATCCGGGGTTATTTTGTGCTTTCACATGCAAATCTTTTAAATGAGAAAAGAGTTTGATATTCATAATAAATTAATTTTTTTTAATCGATTAAAGTCTAAATATTCCACAATCAACGAGTACCAAACAACGAGAAGCCATGGCCTACTAAATTCCCTAAAAAGGAACCAACAAATATTCATATCACTAAAAGATTTTCGAGGCACTGTTTTCATTCGTGATATTCATTTCATAGACGGAATTAGTACTAAAACTAATAAATATCTTATGAATTCCATTTCAATGATGATTAAAATGAATGTAGGATTATCGTTTCAGCACTATAAAATATAAATATATCTGTTGGCGTTGAGGTTTTCTAGGTCCCAACGCTGTTCATTCTGAAATACTCTGTCTCTTTATTTCTACTAAATTCCATAATACTTTGTCACCGCATATTCATAAATACAATATGATAATAGATTGTCTATCACAAGATTTGTGTTGGCTTCTTGATGATTCTAATGATCATAACATATTGATTTATGCTGGGGAAGTCCCAAATACCAAAACTTTTAAAGCCCACATCAATATTCTTAGGGCCAGATCTTTGTATTTTCGTGCTGTATTATCTGGTAAACTATTTTCATGTAATTCCAAGAAAGAAACCAGTGACTCGATTATAACTGAATGGTATCAACCAAATATTTCTCCTGAAATATTCGAAGTTTTGCTCAGGTAAGTTTGGGTTCTATCTATGTATATCTTGATGGTTATGATTGATACATTTTTCCTTTTTTCTTTCTCCTTTAAAAAGATATATTTACAGTGGAGAACTTGACATAGATGAAAATAACATAGATAAAACACTTAATTACCTCATAGCTGCTGATATATTATGGCTCCATCAACTTTTAGATTTCCTTCAAATTTATTTAATTAAAAATCATTCAACTTGGATAAAAGAAAACTTTATTAAAGTATTTCATATTATGCAACTCCACCCGACCACATTCAAAAAATTACAACAATTTTGTAAAGTGATTATATCAGCAGATCCTAAAGTTCTTTTCGATTCTCCACATTTTTCGACTCTCACGGAAGAAGCATTTATTTTTTTGCTTAACAAAGATTACCTACAAATTGAAGAATCGTTTCTATGGAATAAAATCATTCAATGGGGAATAGATCAAAATCAACTTAGTCCTAATATGTCAAGTTGGTGTTTGGAAGATTTCTCTAATATGCGGATGACCTTATCAAAATTTATTCCTCTTGTAAAATTTGAAAATATATCTTATGAAGATTTTAACGACAAAGTACGACCGTACAAACTTCTATTTCCGTAAGTTGACTATTTCAATTATATATCATCTTGTATGATTGATTCATATATTCTAATAAAAAAAACTTAATTTTTTTTTTTGAAATAGTCTCGATTTTTATGAAAATCTTAACCATCACATGAGTATATTTCAAAGAAGTACGTCAATTACTTCATCCGAACAACAATCATCTAGCAATGAGATGTTTATTTCTTTTCCTTCGCCCACTTCACCCACAACTCTATCACCTTTGTGTACATATTTAAAAATAGAATCTCCAACACAATCACAGCCTCAATCTCGATCCATATCTCCTCTATCACAACCGATGCAATCTCAATCAATGTCTCCTCCGGTACAACCAACGATGAAATCTGCATTGTCATCATCACAACAAACTAAAGTTCATTCTATGGCTAATCCAAGAAAACCCGTGCAATTATACCGACCTATTTCTCCGCTACAGCAGACTAAAACTCTATCTATATCTTCACCAACACTTAACTCATCAAGACCTTTGTCTCCCACACAAAAATCAACACGACCTATATCTCCTTCAAAGCAACAACTTACTCCACAATTAACGAAATATCAATCTCTTCTTCCTCCGTCGATATCTCCACCAGATACTCCACCACAATCTCCACGGTTGCAAGTACATTCAGTGAATTCTCTGGGTCATCAACGATCTCTACCTTTGATTCGACCGACGCAATCACAGTCATTATCCCTTCAATCACAAGAAAGAAGGAATTCACAACCTTCATCTCCAGTACATGAAGATTTCTACAGGTTTCCGTCACCACCAAAATCTCCAAAATCTCCAAAATCTCCAAAACTACAAATTCATGCCTCCTCTGTTGCTCCAAGTGTTAATCCAAAATCACCTGAAAATACATCTCCCGTCTTAGAGCCTTTTAACTTAAAACAAAAACATTTATTCACTTTGGTGTCAAGGGCTGACTTAGCGTTAATATCCGGTTGGATCGATGGTTTAGATCTATCATCACCTGATGATGCAGCTTACTCAGTTACTGATGTTCCCTATAAATTTAAATTATTAGTTCGTGGTTCTCGACATGGATTTAACGACAAGGTATTTCATAAACGATGTGATGGTAAGGGTCCTACTGTAACTGTTATAAAATTACAAGGTGTTGATGGTGTCGTTATTGGAGGTTATAATCCTATGAAATGGCAATCACCTTGGTTACGAAAATTTGAAAAATGCCATCATAGTTTTGTATTTTCTCTAAATACTAATGGTGATGACAAAGATTCCGCGAATACAAAAGAAATACATGATGAGATATTAGAAAATAGTTTAGCTTGTAAATATAATATAAGTAATCGTAATTTGATAATGAATACTACTCCAATGAAACATAAATCATCGTTTAGTAGAGTTTCTCAGTCAAAGTATGCGGTGAGCTTGGGTAAGAATACAGGACCAGCGTTTGGGACTACGGATTTAATAATGAAAGATGGTGAAGTTAAATGTAAACCTGATTGCTACTCTTTAGATTTATTAGAAAAAATTGATGGAGTCATGGATTTCTTTGATAATGAATATGTAAAGACTTATAAGATAGAGGAATATGAGGTATATCTTGTGTTGAAGAAGAAATAACAATTATTTAGAAAAAAATAGTATACATCATTTTAATTTCTTTTAATTTAATAATCTGTGTAATAATAATTCATTCATCGTTATAACTGCATTGTAATGGAAAGTAGAAATAAAGAGACACAAATGAGGAATTTCGGATAAATTTAAACTATGCCTTTTGACTTTAAAAAATGGTTTATAAAAAACTCAACTTGCCATTAAGTAAAACGATCTTATTATTGTGTAAGAATTATTGAATTTTTTGAGTATTAATTTTAAAAAAAAGTATTTTGGCATTTTAATATATCAGAAAGTATTTTGGTATCTTAACTAATTTTCACCCACCTTTTCTATTGGTAGAAGGTAAATCTCATCCATGATTGGATGAATTCGGTGATGTCACTTTGATTCTGGCCAATCATGATCAGTCACGGGGACAAGATCAGGAGTAACGTGAAAATTATCAAAAACAATCACTTATTTTTTTCTATTAACCTCAAAATTTTGCCTAACATAAAAAATTCCTTAACAAAATTTTGGTATAATTTTGTCTACTGATCTAATGCCAACTGAAACGTCACATGTAAATAATCACAAACTATTTCAACCTCATAGGCAGAAGTTTGTCTGATTGGCTAATAAATTCAATTTACGTTATTTATACAGTTTAGAGTACTTTTTATAAAAACAACGAAACCTAGTCATAATGAAATAAAAAAAGCGATATAGAAGGTTTCATTAGAGCTGCAGGATTCAATAGCCAAAAATAAGATCTAATTCTCGTCTGTTTAAAAAAGTTAGTATAGTAATAACTTCTCAAAACCTGATAAAATCAACTTAATTTTTTTAAACGGACGAGAATTAGACCTTATTTTTGACTATGGGTTCCTACAGCTTTAATGAAACCTTCTATATAGCCTTTTTTTACTTTATTGTGATTGGTTTTCGTTTTTTTAAAAAAGTATTCTAAACTGTATAAATAATGTAAATTGAATTTATTAGCCAATCAGACGAACTTCTGCCTACGAATTTCAACCAATAGAAAGTGGATGAAAATTAGTAAAATCGTCATTGATTCAAATATTATAATTTTACTTATGAACCTGTCCTTTGTATTTTAATATTTAACATTAATCTAACCCCAACTTCATACTTTAATAAGTATATTACTTATTTATAAAAAAGCCTAGGGTGACTCCTTTTAGGTCTTTACACCCTTTCCATTGATGATTGCATACTTTCAATTAGAGGTCTGCAAATGCCCGTGTCGGCGTGCCAATGCCTATGAGCACAAAGGCACCAGCCAATTTTAGGCCGGCACTTATGTGCCATGCCTACAAAGATGTAAAATTGTCTTTACATAAGTGATGAACAGGTTTATACGTATCAGTTTTGAAAGATTAATCAGATTACGAATATTACCTATATAACTTGATAGAGTTTAATTTGCTATCTATAGAAAATATCAGGTGAACCAAATTTTAATCAATTTTAGTTTTAACTTTATATGAAGGAGACAGAAAAATATCTGGTCAAATGGTATATGCTCTGTCTTCTATCATCGACAGAAACTTTATGGCAATAATGGTATTAAGAGTCACGCATGGCCTATTTTATTGAAAAAAAGTTCAATGTAATTGATAATGGTGCCCATATTGTACAGATCATGTAAAACTTACTCTCAAAGATGCTAAGAAATGGCAATGCCTATCAACAGAATACATTAATAATAAGATTTCGATGTAATAAAGATCATGTCTGCCCAAGCCCGGTCCATTAAATTATAAACCCAGTGTCATGCTCAAATTGTTCTTTTCATTATTCTATCGTTATTTATGTATTTCTTATTTTGGATAATTTGTGGCATAGCTGGGTGATTGAAACCTCCAGCGAGAGATTGAAGGGATTGAAACCCCCCAGCGAGGGTTTGAAACCCCAAGCGAATTAAAGATATATAAGGGTGTGGTTTCAGTTTATAAAGGAGGGAACGATTGTTAACGGTTGTTGATAGTATTTAGTATTATTGTAATATTCTGATGCATTGATTTATGTTAATAAAGAGAATCTTATAACCCATAATTATGTCTTAGTTTATTGATTTAAACATTTGACCTCAACCACTATTTATTCATGATCGAAACTAAATTGGTTCAAGACCATACAAAGCTCTCACCTGATCATAACACCGGCCCAAAGATAGTCTAATAAAAAATTTAGTGCATGGGCCAGGCCAAGCTTACTCTAAAACCTAGCCCGATCTAGCCCAATAAAGAATTTACAATGAAAGCCTGGGTTAATTTATTTTAAAGCCTGGCCTAGCCTGCCTAATCTGACCCATTGAATTATATGTCTATCCCGGTCCATTGAATGATAGGCCTGGTCCGGTCTATTGAATTATAGGCCCAGCCCATATGTAGCTCATGTTTATTGAGTCAGTGTTATGGTCAAATTTCTTTAGTGCCATAGTTTATTGTATCAAAAATGTATAGTAGAATAACAGATTATTGTGAACACTTTTTGAAAAAAATATATTTACCCAAAATTGGATAAGCAAATATTATATAAAATTTGTATTACACTTTTAGTAGATTGCAAGGTATATTATATAGAAACTATGCAAAAAAACTAAGAACGTTTATATGGTACTAAAAGTTTATACTTAATTAACAGTTATACATAATATTTTAATTTTTAAATAGCTACAGTACCAAACAGTAAAACACATCTAATGTTTATTAAAAAAAATTTTAAAATGTTATAATTTTTTTAAAAACAAACTAAACACAGATCAAAATCAAAAATATAATCCAAAAATTATCAAACAATTACCTTATCAATAGCAGGTTAATAAAATAATTGTTGTTTTAAGAGTAGAGTATACATAAATTATTTTTATATAGTTTTGTATATCTCTTTAAAATTTTTATCTAAAATTAATATATATTACTAATAAACCTTTTTTATTTTTTAATTAATCAAGAAAAAAAATTTTATAATATAAATAAAATTATTTATCTATTATAATAAAAATTTGAACTATTCTATTATTTTAAAAAATATACTTATATATATGATAAAGTTTTCTTAGTTTGGTTAAAATTTTTTTAGATAATACAAAATTAAAGAATTTGATTAGTTAATTTACATAAACCTATAAGTTAATTTTATTATATAATTTTATATCCTAATGTTTAAAATTTTATATTTTAATAAGTTTTTAATCAATTTTAATAATTTTATTATTATTAAAATTAGAAAGACCTACTCTACAACTTTTACTTAATGATTAAAATTAGTTTACTTAATATAATTTTTTATAAATTTAAATATAAAAAAGAATTACTATTAAGTTTATATAATTTTAAAATAGTATACTTTATCTTTAAAATTAAAAGAAAGTAATAATAAGTTAATATATTAAAGATAATAGAAAAATTTGTTGCATCTTAGTTAATATTTAGTAAAAATAATAAAATATCATTTAATAAATAAAATATATTATAAAAAAGACATTGGGTTTAATTTAATTATATATATATATATTAATATTAAGATGATTTTTTTGGTCTTTTGATTTTATTAACATTTTATATTAATATAGTTTTATAAACTATTACTAGAAGAGTATACAATTAGTTATATATATAACTTTTTTATATTACTTATTTAAGAAGTTTGCTTAAAGTTTCTTTACTAATTGCTGTATCTAATATTCTTGCTTAAATGTTTTATTTTAAATTTTCTAAATCTATAACTTGTATTAATATTTTTTTTTTTTTTTTTTTTTTTTTTCTTATAAGCAGTCACGCTAGTACTTTATTAAGTTTTTTGAAATTACATTTGTAACTACATAAATATCCCTAATATCTAA